GGCGCCCAAGACCAGTAAGAGCGAAACTCCTCCTCCGACAAGTTGAGATCCTCACGTAGGGGATCCTTCGCGACCCCCTCCACTAACAAACGATAGAAGACCTTCCTAGGCCGAGAAAGGTCACTGGACCAAGGGACAGCCAACAAGGCCGACCGACACTCGCGAAAGAAAACTGATTGAACCCGGGGTTTACGACGGCGATCCACCCGCGAGCTTGGGGTACTGATGGTAAGGCGAGGGGAAGCGGCCCTCACAATCCCCTCAATAATCGGATCTCCACCTGTCAACGCGCGACGTAGGAAAGCCAACCTTGAGGCACGTTTGTGGCTCAGCAAGTGTGGCATTCCCAGCCCCCCATGACACGGACGTTGTGCACAGACTTCTCTGTCGACCCGATTCCCGCGTCCCCTCCATAAGATGGAGGATAGCGAGCGCTCGAGCGGCTTCTTATGGTCGTCACAGAGAGGAAGTACGGACAATCGATAAAGGACAAGAGGGAAAATGTATGTAGCACACACCTCCGCCCTGCTCTTCACGGACAACCTCCGTCGACGCCAAGTCTGACCGGCGGCGTCGACCTTTGCACGTACCTCAGACCAATTCTTCTTCAGCTGGAGGTCGGGTCCAAACCACACTCCGAGAATGCGGACAGGACCGTCCGTCCAACCGAAGGGTCCCGGAAGATCGACCCCCTTCCAGGCACCTAGCCGCAAGCCGGACGACTTGTCGCGGTTAATCTTGGCCCCTGTCACCTTTTCGTACCGATCAAGCGCCTTCAGTACTGCATCAATGTCGCTGCGGGACGACACGAAAGCAGATACGTCATCGGCGTACGCAGAAACCCTGGCTCGAGCTCCTCCAGGAACGGCGATTCCGCGTAGGGCCGGACTGCACGCCCTGTCCCTCAGCCAGCGAAGGAGAGGCTCCAACGCCAAAGCGTAAAGTAGGGGCTCTCTCGTCGTCTTTTACTCCCTCTATGATCGTGCGGATCAAATGCAGGTTGCTCTGAATTGTTCGACCCCTCACAGCACAGGTCTGCTCGGGACCCCACAGATACTGGGCAACTAACTGCAAGCGCTCCTGCAGGATCTTGGCCAAAATCTTTAACTCTGTGTTTAGCAGAGTTATGGGCCTGTAGTCGTCTATTTTCCCCCCAACACCCTTGCCCTTTATCAACAGCGTGATCACACCCCTGGAGAACCGGTCGGGGAGGAACCCCTGCCGGAACCAGTTGTTGAACACGACCGTCAAAATCGGGACAAAGATGTGCGACAGCCTCAAGTACACTTCATAGGGCAGACCATCCAGACCGGGCGACTTGCCTCTGCCGACCTTCTTCAAAGCCGCGTAGACCTCGCCCTCGGTAATCTCTCCCTCGCAGCTAGCCGCTTCAGTCGGCGAAAGCCGAGGAAAGTCAGCCAAATAGCTGCGAAACTCGTCCTCACGAAGACCAGGCTCCTTGGTAAAGCGACTCTCGAAATGCCGCCGAAACGCCTCGCACATGTCGTCAGTGGCCCGAAGGGTACGCCCCTCCGGGGTTTCGACTTCACGAATGTAACGATCGCCACCTCGAGGGACCTCTTCCCTGCGCAGATCTACACGCCCATATTCACGGCTTCGGAAGACATCTTGCTTAACCTATGTCTAATTACCTGGCCCATGTAGCGCTCGCTGTTCAAACGCTCCAGGGCCTCCTTAGCTACGGCTATCTTTAGGGGATCCCCCCCCAGCCACCGCCCGGGAATAACTAGCTTTAAGTGTCCTCACCTTATCAGCTCTATCTAGGGCGAGCCGTTTGCTGAAATCCGTGGTGAAGGACCTAATTCTACATTTAAGTCTGTCCCACCACCTATTCCCGATAACCGCCCCCACTAGCTCCCGCTGCACTAAGCTAGTCAGCTGCTCCCGGAAGTCCCGCCTGTCCAGTAAAGACAGATTGAACTTCCAGTAACCAGCCATTCTAGGCCTATGTTCTAACGCCACACGGGCACAAACGAGTTTGTGGTCCGTATAGCCTACCTAGTGGAACGTGGGACAATCTAACAGATCTATGTCGGCCCTTCTCACTAACATTCTGTCAAGGTAGCTAACCACCTTGTCACAAGGCCAGCTACGAGCCCACGTCCACATTTTCCCTCCGGGGTGATCGACCCGGTATCTATCAACGAGACCGAAATCTTTGATCAGATCGACCAGGCTACGATCGCCCTGCTCCCGCTAGCACCCCGCCCCGATCTATCTTGGGGTCCAGGATGGCATTCCAGTCCCCACTAGAACTAAGCGCTTGGAATCCACCACGAAAGGCTCCAACCGCCGAAAAAACGAAACCCGCGCCTCCTGGTCGTTGGGCGCATAAACCGCAACGACCCGAAACGAACCACTTTTCACGGCAATATCGGCCACGATCAACCGTCCCTCGGCATCGGTATACACAAGGTCCACCTTCGCATCTAGAGTCCGCTTCACCAGCAAAGACACTCCTCTGGCAGCTCGGTCCCCATATGCTGAATAGACGACAAAGTCGCTAGACAGCACACACGGAACTGCAAACAAAGTGGGTCTCTTCGATCGCGGCAACATCCACGCCGAACGACAGGAGATCCCGGAGCAGGCGGGCCGCCTTACCCCGATCCCTCAAGCCATTCACATTCAGCGTCGCTATCTTAATTTCCATCTTCTAAGTCCTGTAAAATATAAAAAACAGAATTAACCTATTCACATACCGGGCGGAAATCTGCAGCAGTAAGGACTCCGACGGATTGTCCCAGGTTTCCTGTACCCAACTCGGTCGTCATACGACCGTTCAGGACAACACCGACAACGTCCGTGGGGTAAATTATTTTTATGGCCCTATACAAAGAGGGATGGAGCAGAACCGGGACCCTCCCAGAGCAAAAATACCTCATTTTTTTGAGGTCTTCATTATTTACTTCCATTAACCTTATTTCCGGATAAGCTTCTCGAGCCTCATATATATGGCTCCAAACTTTCAAGTATGCTCCGGTGTCTCTTACGACGGTGATGACACCTGGGGCATTAGGGAAGTTTCGTGGGTCCTCTACCGATTTCCCATCTACCTCGTCAAGTTTAAATAGGAGCCCCATAAGGGCCCTTTTTTGTTTCGACAGGTCTTTTTTTTGCCTCCTCCTTATCTACTTTACAGATCCCGTCTGGACCCGGGAAGTACTTTTTCTTTTACTTTTCCTTCTCCCTAGCACGATGGGGAGGGGAGGAAGTGGACGCGTGTGGGGGAGTAGCCGTTGAACTCAGGGGTGTAATGAGGGTTGAAGCACGGGAAGGGGAACAAGGGAGGCTCCTAACTTTGGTGGGGCTGAAATATCTTGTTTGCGAAGCCGGGAAGGAGCGCCGCCTGGTTCTGTCCATGCTTCGCTCCTCCCTGCTTCGGCCAGACTGTTCTTTTTCCTCTGGATCTTCCCCCCTGCTCCTTTTCAGGGACACAGTTCGCGGTGGAGGCATTTTTCCTACCTCTATTGGTGTTTCTTCCTCCACCTGCTTCTGTTTGTGGAGGTGCTGCTGCTCTTGTTGCCGCTGCCGTTTTTGATGCTGCTGTTCCGGTTTTGGATGTTTCTGCTGCTCTTGTTGCTGCTGCAGTTTTTGTTGTTGTTTCTTCGAATGCTGGTGTTGATGTTGATGTTGCTGAGGAGATTGTTGCTGCTGAAGCTTCTCTTGCTGCTGCTGCTGCTGCTGCTGCTGGAGTTTTTGTTGTTCTTGTTGCTTCTCCTGCCGCACTGGAGGAGAGGGTGGAGATGCCACTTTTCCGCCTTTCCTCACTTCCGTCCAGGCTCCGGGGCCAGCCTTTTCCTTTGTTGGTGTCACCTCTGTCACTGCTGTTGCTGCTGCTGGTACTGCTGGAGTCTCTTTTGTAGTCTGCTGGGCCTTTTCCCCGGGGCACTCTTTTGCCATGTGCCCCACCGCACCACACGCCCAACAACACGGCTTCCTTCCCTCCACCACCACCAGCATCTTCTTCTCCCGGCAAGTCAATACATTTGGTATGTCCCGGAAGTTGTCCCTATCCAGGACCACTTAGAGCACCATGTCTCCCGTCGCTATGCCTGACTTGCTTCTGAGCGCACTAACTTCCTCCACTTGGCCGAATTTGGCGAAAAACGCTCCTATTCTGTCTTGGGTAATGTCGACAGGAACGCCGTGGACAGTAATACGCGTCTTTCTCGTGCCCAAGTATTCCGTTTGGAGGCGCAAGTTTGGTGTGGACAAGAGGTTTCCGGCCAGCTGCTTCGCCTCTTGCTCCGAACCAAGCAGAATGTCCCACATGGCATTGCTTCTGCGGGCTAACATTTTGGGGCAATCTTGAGGGTCTTTAGAGCATCCTCTACATTGTCTCTGCTGACTCCAATCAGTATATGGGTTTTCACATCCGATGTCAGCAGAGAGATAACTTTGACCTTGACAGCGTCCAAGGCCTCCGGAATTGTGATAAAGTCATTCCCATTCACGTACTCTTCGTATTTCTGCCGTTGTTCTTCGTAATACGAAGAGTCTTTTTTCTTCGGTCTACTCTGGGACCAGGCCTGTGTTTTCGCAGGTGACAAATTTTGAGTTTGCACCGGCGGTGATTCCGTTGGTGGAGTCATATTTACGTTTATGTCGTCGGCCATTTTGGCCGCGACCAAACGAAAATAACGGTATTATAAACAGAAAATAATACGAAAGAAAAACTTGGGCAACAAAAGATAATTCAAATAAATATTAAACCAAAGTCATACAAACAAACAAAACAATGGGAAGGGTATAAAAAATCGCAAGAAAGGAAAAATGAAATAAAAATAAAAATAAAAGAAACAGAAATACAAAAATATAGCCCTTTTGAACCCGCCTAGACGGATTCAGGCCCTGTCTACCTCCCCGAACGAAACCTTGCCCTTCGGCAAAGCTTCGTCCGGGTTCCTCTCTGCTAATGCAGAGAGTTCGACAGATGCCGACTCGGAAGCTCACAAAGGCAGCGTACTACACTTTGATCATTGCCCCCCGGGCCGAGCTGCACAGGAGTCGCTGGGGTTTCGTTTGATGTCTGCGGTGCTGCGTCTGCCGGGTACGCTGGAATAGCATTAGGGGGCCGCAGAGCCGGGTTTGCGTCATACTGTCGCTTCTCCAGAAAAGCAGGCTTGGTCCGATGGATCGCGATGGTGTCGGTCGAGTTGGCGCGCTTGATCGTAAGGTGCTTGTCGGTGCGCCGAAGAACATGAAAAGGACCTTGGTATGCCGGCGTGAGTGGTCGACTCACGGCGTCGTTCCGTACGAAGACGAATTTGCAATCCCGCAAGTGTTGAGGGATGTACGAATTCACCGGTTGCTGTCGCGGAGTTGCATATTTAAGCCGGGCCATTTTGTGGCGGAGTTCCTCGACGAAAGGAGATGTTGGTTTTGAAAACGTCTGAAGGGAGTCGTCGAAATATTCGCCGGGCAGCGCAAGAGGTGTACCGAAAACCAGTTCGGCGGGTGAACAACCTAAGTCCTCCTTTACGGTATTCCTCAATGCTAGGAGAATTAAAGGTAGGTCGTCCACCCAGTTGATAGTGTCAGGTCTAGTGGCCAGGGAGGTTTTAAGGGACCGATGAAACCTCTCAACTAAGCCGTAGGCGCACGGATGATAAGCGGTAGTCTTTATGTGCTTGGCACCATGTAGATTGGTAAACTCCCGAAAAAGGGACGACTGGAACTGTGACCCCCTGTCGGTCGTGATGACTTGGGGCGTGCCGAAAGTTCCAATCCACTCTTTCAGGATGGTCCTGGAGACGGTGCTTGCAGAAGTGTCTTTTATAGGTATGGCGGTCGGCCACCGCGAAAAATGATCCACAACCGTCAAAAGATACTGGTAATCCCGACACATCGGAAGCGGTCCCACTAAGTCGACATGTATGTGTGAGAACCGTGCATCGGGACTGCTGAAGGTGTCGACGGGGGATTTAGTGTGTCGGTGGACCTTACACTTCTGGCACTCCATGCACGTGGAAACTCATTCACGAATGTCCGCATTCATATTGGGCCAAACGAATCGGTCGGTAATAAGTTTGACCGTAGCTCTCTTACTCGGATGAGACAGCCCGTGGAAATGTTGGAATACCTATCTCCGAAGTGCCGGTGGGATGTAGGGCCTAGGGCTTGCTAGGCTGGTGTCACAGTACAGATTGTCGTCGCTGAAGGATGCAGGGAACTCCCGAAGCTTTAAAGAAGTATTTGAAAGGACGTCTTGCAGCGTGGGGTCGGATTTTTGTTCAGCGGCTATGGAATCTTGACCCAAGACGCCGGTCTGAAGAGATTGAATTTCCGCTCGCGATAATGTGTCTGCGACGGCTTTGTTCTTCCCTTTTATGTGACGAATATCGGTCGAGAACTGTGACAGGTAGTCGAGATGCCGGATCTCGCGAGCTGTATACTTGTCAGAGTTGTTACACATCGCGGTCGTCAACGGTTTATGGTCGGTATAGATGGTAAAATCTCGACCTTCCAGTAAGTGCCTGAAATGCCTGACGGCCAGATAAATGGCCAGCAGCTCTCGGGAGAAGGTGCTGTATTTTCTCTGGGCTGGCGAAAGCTTGGCTGAAAAGAATGCGATGGGTTCGCGTTGTGAATTGAACTCTTGCTCAACCACCGCGCCCACACCAGCGTCCGATGCGTCGGTTGTCAGGAAGAGTCGCGTCTCCGGATCGTCGTTGATATGCGAGAGTCTAGTATAATTTGCCAATGCAGCCTTCGCTGTATGGAATGAGTGCAGAGCATCTCCCTCCAACGTGCTTATTCCTTCTCTGTAGCAGGTTCGTCAGTGGCTGGAGGATGGTAGCGCAATTCGGAATGAACCGACGATAAAAATTGAGCATACCGAGGAAACGTCGCAATTGTTTCATGGACGTCGGTGTAGGAAAACCATGGATCGAGCTGATCTTGTCTGGCAGAGGTGCTATGCCGTTTGCGTCGGTGCGGTGCCCAAGAAAATCAACGCTGGGAGCCCCGAAAACGCACTTGTCCAGGTTCAACTTCAGGCCGTAGTACGAGAGTCGCTGGAAGACTTCTCGCAGGTGTTGCCTGTGAGAATTGGCGTCTGTACTGGCCACCAAGATGTCGTCGATGTAAGCGTATACGTGCGGAAGTCCGCGCAGGACTTCGTCTATGAGCCGTTGGAAGGTCTGGGCAGCGTTACGTAGACCGAACGGCATTTTCAGAAATTCATATAGGCCAAACGGTGTTGTGACTGCCGTCTTAGGGACGTCTTCCGCAGCGACGAGGATCTGATGGTATGCCTTTGTCAGGTCGATTTTTGAAAAGATGCGAGCGCCCACCAGTCCGGATGCAAAATCATGGATATGAGGGACAGGGTATCGGTCTGGTACGGTCGATGCATTTAATTTTCGGTAGTCGACACATATCCGAAATTCTTTACCACCAGGTTTAGGCACTAAGTGTAGTGGCGAGGCGTACGGGCTATGGGAAGGACGAATGATGCCATCACTCAGCATTTTGTCGAATTGCTCCTTGGCGTACGCCAGTTTGTGCGGAGCGAGTCGTCGCGGATGGGAGTGTGCGGGAGGACCTCGTGTTCTGATGTGGTGCTGAGTCTGATGGTCACCTGAAGCCGTTACTTGGAGTGGCAGCGTTATATCCGTAAACTGTGTCAGGAGATCTAAGTACTCGCCACCATGGCATGTTGCGACGCTGATTCCTGTGGAGCCTTGACGTGTAAGGGTACCTAAGACACGGAGATTCGTAGTCGTATCGGACAGAGTCCTAGGGTTCATATGGACCGCCAGTGCGTAATGCGCCAGGAAATCCGCGCCGAGGATGGGTACCTTCACGTTGGCCACGGTAAATGTCCAAGTGAAATCACGTCGCATGCCGATATTCAGAGTAAGGGTCCTTTCTCCGTACGTGTCTATCGCGGAACCATTCGCAGCTCGTAGTTTGACCAGGGTGGGCTTAGCGGTGTGGTCGTTCTGATAGGGTACCACGCTTATGGCTGCACCTGTGTCTACTAGGAATTTCAATTTGTTCCGTCGATCCCAAACGTAAAATAGACGACATTGCGTGTTGGCACCGGAAGAGTTAGTCGTCGCGACTCTTCGGTTTATTCGTTTCCCCGGGCCGACGGGTGTGTACAGGGAGGTTTACAATTCCTGGCCCCATCGCCGAATGTGCGATGAAACCAACAAACACCCTGGTCGCTTTGCCGTTCTCGGCTGGGGGTTCGCCTCCGTCGAGATGGGGTCGATTTCTTTGTCCGTGGGCGCAGGGAGATCTGGATCTCTCGAATTTGTCGTTGAAGGTCGGCCAACGCCCGTTCTGTTTTACTCGGCTCGTAGCGTTCGTGCTTTGCTATGTCAGGGGCGTGAACAGCGTTAATGCTGTGGTCAAACTGCGCAAAAACTAGATCAGCAGATTCTGCCAAATCATCCAGAGGCGTGGCTCTCGTCATTGGTGCGATAATTTGAGCGACAGATTTGGGCAAATGCTCCAGCCATAAACCTCGAAGAACCTTCTCTGACACATTGTGCTTTCCCAGCTGGTTCCTCATATATCTGAGAAGCTGGGATGGCGTCTTGTCACCTCTAGTGACGTTCCGTAGTATTTCCTGAATCATATCTTCCTCGGAACGTCCGGTTCGCTTGAGGATAGCTTCCTTTAAGTGATCATATGGTTCATGTTCGCGCAAATCGGAGAGGACGTCAGAAATTTCGTCCATCATATCGGATGGGAGTTTCTGCATTACGTTCGCGAATCTGGCTCGCTGTGAAGTGATGCGTAGCAATGAAAAGATGGATTCTACCTGCAAGAACCAGTTCTTGGCATTATGGTGGTATGCAGGCAGAGGTATGATCGCGGCCGTCATGTCTAAAGAATCACTTTTGGCCGACTCCATCATCGCTTAGCTGTCTCACGTCGGGAAGTCACCACTTGTTGCGGGGCCAATAAGGATGTCGCCACCGCAAGCTTTATGAAGAAAAGTGTGAACACCCAAGACAATGAGGGGACAAAGGCAAAGGTTTATGGAACAATAACGTCGAATTTATTAATGCGTTTAAATCGGTGTCGGGTCCGGTATGACTGGTTTGTTGTTTAGGGTAGCTTTCGGTCGTATAAAGTTGATCGGCGAACGTAGCTGGTTTGGTCGTATAGAGTTGATCGGCGAACGTAGCTGGTTTGGTCGTATAGAGTTGATCTGGACCGGTCGTATAGGGTTGATCGATGTCCCTAAACAGGGCCAAGACTGAACAGTGATAGACTTCACAGGGCGGATCAACCGCGGAAACGGGGTCGCGCCAAAGAGTATCACTAGGCGAAGACGGAGTCCCTAAACAGGGCCAAGACTGAACAGTGATAGACTTCACAGGGCGGATCGACCGCGGAAACGGGATCGCGCCAAAGTGTATCACTTGGCGAAGCAAGTCAGAGAGTTGATACGTCTTCCAGGGCGGATCGACCGCGGAGACGGGATCGCGCCGAAGAGTAACACTCTCGACAAAGCACCGGAAGCTCACAAAGGCAGCGTACTACACTTTGATCCAGGCCCCCGGGCCGCGCAGCTTAGTATTTATCAATCCACCCACGAGTATAGAATGTGGCACAAGGCCGGTTTAATGTGGGTATCCCCGAGCCCGTAGGCTCGGCCAAAAATATAGCTTTTTTGAACCAGCCTAGACGGATTCAGGCCCTGTCTACCTCCCCGAACGAAACCTTGCCCTTCGGCAAAGCTTCGTCCGGGTTCCGCTCTGCTAATGCAGAGAGTTTTCGACAGACGCCGACTGGGAAGCTCACACTTTGATCATTGCCCCCGGGCCGAGCAGCTTGGATTTGGACGACGAAAGTGGCTAACAATATTTGAAAAGATTTATTCAAGTACTCCCTGGCTAGAGGGAGTAGAAAACCGTAGATATTAAATTAATATCAATGGTTGCCGATGTTTGACAGGGCGCTGCATAATCCGATGCTCACAAGGTACAGTTTGGCATCAACAATATTGGACTAGTCGTCCGGTTTCTCGCATGTTGCTTGACCTAAATCTGCGAGATCAGGGGTTGTGAAGGTCAAGGTCCGCTTTCTAAGGAGCGGCTATGGAAATATCGACAGAGCAGCGAGAGGCTTGTGACATTTCGTCTGTGAGAAATGGGTTGGAGGGTAGAAAATAATTCATCACCCTCAAGGACGTGGAGACGCTTTTGGACTCTATCGAAATTGGAAAGTGAAGACTGATAATATTTAACAGCCCCCCCTCCACGAGGGATGTATGTGACACAAGGCCTAGTTACCGTGAGTTCTCCGTGCCCGTAGGCTCGACCAAAAATATTCCCTTAGAACCCGCATAAATGGATTCAGGGCCTGTCTACCTTCCCGGACGAAACTTTGCCCTTCGGCAAAGCCTCGTCCGGGTTCCTCTCTGCTCAAGGCAGAGAGTTTAACAGTTGAACAGGCTAGAGCAAAATGAAAACTAAACCACTGGAAAGTGAAGACTGAACCACTCCTGTCCATATATGGCAGCAATAGTTCATTTTCAGCCTGATTTGGCTCTTGTAAAGGTAGAGGATAGCAGGAGGAGGCCGGTACTTACTGGAGCGGTAGAGTATGGTAGGTCACTTTTGGAACACTGGTATTGCACTCAGTTTGGAAGTTGGAGGTTGACACGATAAATAAAAACACAAAATATTTTTTAAAAACCGTTACCGTTTTTGAGAAAATGAAGTTAAATTTAGGTTAAAAATCGTAGCGTTACAATTTCATTCCAGTGATCAGTGAAAGTCTTGCAGGACAGCATTTTAAAATTTAAAATTTACTGAAGCTTTACAAATTGTGCATGACACAAACAGATTATTACTAAACCATTGTCCCATCAGATAAGACCTTCATTACTTCAAAGGGAAATTATACTAAATAATTTAGCTATATTATGATGTAATATGTTATACAGTGCAATAGTTTTAGTGTGAGTTACAATAAACAATGCAAATTTAAAACATTTTGTCTTATAATTTGTGCCCAGCAGTATCATGGTTTTATATACACTTTTATCTATTTTTTGTTTTTATTAATTATGATCTGACAAATCTTATTCATTGAGTAGCCGTTTTGTAATCTTTTATAATTTTTCTACACAGACTTTACTTACCGAGTACAGTAAAAAAATAGCATATTTTGCTTGTGGCGATTCATAATTGGAATTCTGGTTTGAATATATTTTCTATTCAGTGTATCTAATACAAAAGATATCAACTAACAAAATTTTAAAGTTAGTTTGTAAGCAAAAATCTGCGAAAATTAAGTGTTTCTGTACATTTTTCAGACGATCTTTAAAACTAAATGCTCAACAACTGGTGAAACCAATGAATCTAATTTTTTGGTGTCAGTACTTATCTCATCAAACCTCAGCTTTCACATTGAGTGCAATGATGATTTTCGCTGCCCTAATGGTACAGTAAACCGACCATTTTTTTCATTATCTTTATGCTGGGGCGGTACAATTATTCGTGCGATAATAAGAAAAGTAATTAATAATAATAATAAAGAAAAAAAGATAAAATTATTTGGCGAGTGCATTGCTTTCTGTTATTTTTCGGTTCAAATCAGGACGCGCACGTCTGAAACAAGAAAATAATGTTTAAATTTGAATAAAAGGAGAATTTCAAGATCTCTTTCGAAGACGTTTTACGGTCTTCCTCTGACTTTTTTCTCCCCAAATAAGGCGATAAAGCCACGAAGATGCAGAGGGGGGGGGTTACTAGGTGTGAGAGAATATGAGACAAAAACCCAATTAACAAGAGAGAACAATAAAAGGCCAGAAATTAAGAAGACAGAAGATAGCGATTGACACTGAATTTAAATGTTAATCGTTTCTCTCCAAGCAAGGCAATAAAACCACTAATACGCAAGGGGGTTACTGAGTGTGAAAGAAAATGAGAAAAAGAAAAACACTATTAACGAGAGAGAACAATAAAAGGTCAGGAATTAAGAAGACAGAAGATAGCGATTGACACTGCATTTAAATTTTTGAAGATCAATGTTGACTGGAAAGCAAAACGCTGGAAGAGACTTACACAAGCAAGAAGTGCGAAAAATGAATCTGTTAGCATAGAACTTATGGTTACATCTAGCCATTTCAACTGTAAAATGATGAGACCTAGCCGCCAATTTAATACTGCGCTTAAATTCATAAAATCTAGATACCATGGATGAAAGTTCAGCAGAACAATTGAAATGAAATTATTCATAGAAAAACCACAGGGAATCTACGTTACGACAGTGGGAAATCGACCGAAGCCGAGATGCCATGTCAGGACCAATAACATTAAAGATTATTTTTTGTATTTTGTCACGAATATCTAAATACATAACAGCTATCGTAAAGAGCGATGTCGTTCGGCTTTCACTGCATTGAAAACTGCCCCCAATCGCTGCAAAAAAGTTCTAGAAAACGCCAAGTGCAGCTACGCACAAACATTCCTGACCAATGTTGAAAAGAAACAAAATGGATCCCGTGAATTCTGGAAGATCAACAACCAAATCATAAACAAAAGTAAAGCGGCTGTGCTCACAATCATAAATGGCCCCTGAGGTCATATCTCCCTCCACGGATAATGCAAACATCTTTGCCTCTATTTTTGCCTCTAACTCAACATTAGATGACAAAGACCATCCCCTTCCCAAGTTCTGACGTCTCACTGAGCACAATTACAGTAGTATTGCCATCACAGCAATAGAAGTTTCTAGGCTTACCAAAGGCCTAAGAAAGCCACTGGGCCAGACAAAATTCCAATGGTTGTCCTTAAGAATATCAACCCGGAATTCTTCCCAATCCTAGCAAAGTTATTCAACCGCTGCTTGAAGGAGAAATCTTTCCCAAGCTTGT